AAARSYWAAWAAAAAAAAAAGCAGAAAGGCAGCTAAAAGCTTAAAGCAGCAGTTAGGTAAAAACCGAAAAGTAGCTCAAAAGACAAAAACAGAGCCCGTTAGCTGAAGCAAATTTAAGGAGAACAATGATTTTAAAGGAATTAAATGGATCTGAATGTATGTGTGGGAAAATAGTTAAATGTCTTCAGAAAAGTTCAAATTTACAGCACTCATCTCCTGAATGAGCTAAACGTTTATATAAACAGATAAAGCACAAAGAAGCAGCTAGTTCACAAAAACATACTGATATTTGAAAAAAAAGGCAAACGATGAGAATACTGAATCAGCATTCAGACTACCCTCAGTTCTATTATTTTAATCATGCTGTCTTTTTTTTAATAAATCTGCTTTTAGATGACGTTTACGCCTACACTCTGTCCAAGACTCTGACAAAGATTTCATCACCCGCCACCGTTGGGCTCTACTCGTCGTGTCAGGACCGGATCACCCTCATCCTGCAACAAATGGAAGGTAGAAACCGTCCGTTCTGCGTTGATTTCAACAATAAACACAAAAACACCCAGCACTGAGTTCTCCTCACGTCCAGCCAACACCTGAGAAAGTTTGTTTTGACCTCTTGAACCAAACTTTTAGAGATAAATAAAAGTAAATGGGGAAGGGAACGCAACAGGAAAACCAACAAATCACGTTACTTAAAACGTATTGCGCCCAAAATCTGTGACAAGCGGAAAAAAGCAAATCTGTTCCCAGACTGCGAGCAGATACGGTGGAGCAGGTGCAGCGGCGCTGAAAGGCTCCCATAGAAAAGACAAGTTGTGTTATTTCACCCTGAAGGTCCTGCAGGAAGCCAACGTTGGTGCTTTTTTAACCTTGGCAGATTTATTACACATTCCAGACCGGGCTTCATGCTCACATAATAAAATCCACAGAATAATGAGCCTTCAACATGTAGCAAGACAGATGATAAACACTATTCATGAACTCTACATTCATTTCTTTTAGTTTTGCTTTTGTTTGTTGTGACAGTGTGTTTCCGCAGAGGAGCCAGACTGATTGTTTCCCCTGCAGCAGCTTTTGGATTTAGTGCCACGCTGCAGGGTGTTTTATATACGCCGCTGGAAGCCCAATGAATAAAAAACATGAAGTTATTGTTTTAATATTAAACACAAGACTCTAAAACCTTTCATTTATTATTAGAAACGGTGTGTTTGTGTCCGTGTGCATGTCTATTAGCAAAATAGCTCCTGAACCGTTTGAAGAATTTTAATCAAAGTTGCAGGATGTAATGACTAAATGTAGATAAACAACTGGCTAACTTTTAGAGTTAAAACAATTCAACATGGTTCTGCTAACCAGCTAAACAAATTTTTTTTTTGGCAGCTTTGTCACTAACTTTGACAACCGTTAGCAGATCAATTAGCTTCCGCTAAATTACATCATACTTGCCATCTTTATTGTCGCTAACAACTAATTAACAAACACAGATTTGTGATTTAATTATTAGCAGGCCAATTAGCTTCTGCTAAATTAGGTTTTGCAGACTTTAAGTTTGCTGACAGCTAACTAACAAGCTAGCATCAACAGGTTTGTGTCGGTCCCAGCAGTCTTCAGCTGGAAGGAGACGAAGACGTGGCACAGACTGAGTGACAGCCGTCTTAGCGGTTAGCGATTAGCTATTAGTGTAAGATTCCACTAAGATTTACTCGTTTAGTGTTAGCTTCAGCTAATTTTCTTTTTACCCATTTAGAGGATTAGCTTATTCTCTAACTTTTAAAATATTAGTAGGCCAATTAGCTTCTGATAAATTATGTTTTATCAACATTAAGGTCATTAACAGCTAACTAACAAGCTAGCATCAACAGGTTTGTCAGTCCTGCAGTTCTCAACCCCAAGGAGATGAAAACGAGTGACGCAAACTGTGTCTTCTTAGCAATTAGCTGTTAGTGATAGCTTCTGCTAATTTTTTAACACATCTAATGGTTTAGCTTTAGCGAAGCTATACTTTTATGTAGCAAATTATGAGTTAGCAAAGCTAACTTTTTGGTTGGATGTGCCCACCCATTCAAGATGCCTGCCACAGCTAATCAATGTTAGCAAACAAAAATGGCTACAATCTTTGGAAATTGTACAATTGTCACAACACATATTGACAACATTGCATCATGTTTTATTTTGTATCAAGTTAGTTTTGTTTAAAAGCTCAATTTTTATTGGTTTGGAGTGACTTCATCTAGATTTTTAGCACAATTTTTAAAAAGGAAAACCCTCAAGCATCACAACGGTGGGGTGACACTGGGGGGACAATGGCCACCCATAAAAACTTGGTTGGCATCCCCTTAAATTTCATATTGCAAAATTTTTCAATTTGTTGTTTTACAACAGCATAATAGAATTTCTGATGTTCTGTTTTGGTTTTTAGTTAGAGAAAAATTATCAATTTCCAAAGGAGAATATGCGATTTAGTATAATTTCTGAAGGTATACTTGTTAGAAACATTAATTAAAAAGTAGAATAGAAAGATTTTATGCTATTTTAGATACTGATTTTGCTAGATGTTGGACTTAAAATCAATATTTTATTTTAATTGCATTGCAGCCTGATCATTTCTGTGTAAATATCGTAATTGTTTTTCTTTGTTCCTCAGAGCACATGAACCGTGAAGCTTCCAGAATTGAGCAGAAATGCAACCAAAAACCAAAACCCCATTCGACAAAGCCTTCATTTACCGGCTTCATGGCCCTGATGGGGAGGCTACTTTTCTACAGACCCATTTGGACCACAGAGAACCAGCACCGCAGCACCATCAGGTTCATCTACGTTCATTTTAGCGCTTGGCATTTCGCAGGCAGCGACCTGCTCTGGGCCGGGATCGCCATTCGGCTGTTTCAGGCCATGCAGATAGAATTTGGAAAACTACAGCTCGCTCTCTACCGAGTGGCTCAATATGACGAAGAGGATGAAGTCAAGCAGAAGGTGAGGGAATTTTCTTCATAAGGAGTCTTTCTTAAGCGTCTTACAGGCCTTTACCGTTCATAATGAAGGAAGCGTGAACTCTTTCACACAATATAACCTTTACGGAACCACCTGCAAAAGATTTTTCTACTGTAATTTATCTGGATAAATGTTAACCTGGTGGGAGGATGCGTCATAATTTGCCATTTTAAACCAGCAGACTGGGGTCTTTTATGAAGGTCGAAAAGACACAGAAGATAAAATATCTTGCAAAACAGATGCTTATAAAAAGGTAATTGTAGAAAAATATGATAAAAACAAGGTTTTATTATTAATTGCTTTTTTAGGTATTTAAACCTCCTTTAGCATGGCTTCAATCCAGATTTAAAGTTCCAGTGGTATGCATATACTTTTAATACAAAAAGTCAAAGAAAACATCTCTGTTTTTCAGGAAACTTGACATAATACACTGATTTTACCCATTTTGTCAAACAACTGCCATTTTCTCTTTTGAAATTGGCTTAGCCAAAGTGAAACAGGACGTGACATCAAAGGGGAACTCTTTGTTTTTTGTTTAATGAAACATTATTTGAACTCTGACTCTTCATCTCATAGTGACTCAAAAAGATCTAAAGAAACAGATTCTTCTCCACGGTCTGTGTTGCAGCATCGCTCTGTTCATGTTCAGGCATTCCCCTTTGACATCACTTCCTGTTTCTTCACATGCAAATATCTCAACAACTGTTCATCTCAGCAGCGTGATTTTTTTGAGGGTAACGTGTCATCAGTACTATCTTTCTAAAAATGCATTTAAATTGATTGCAAAAAATTGATGTCACAGGCACTTTAAGATACGATTATTTGAAAATAGAGKTTTAAAGAGTTTTGCTTTACTATCTTTCAGGTTGTTGAAACTTCTCCAAATGACTGGAGTTCCAAAAAGGTTTGCTGTTTCCCCCTGTGGTTGTGCACCTTGTCCATCCTGGTGATCCCAGTTGCCCTCCTGTTGGTCTGGATTTATGGTTTTCCTAAATCTGGAGTAAATCCAAAACCGGGCGCGAACAGTACAAGCGGCGGAGTGGAAACCGACACAAGCGGCGGGGTGGATGTGTTTGAGAGCCTCCTCATTGCTTCGTTAGGACTCCCCGCCGTGACTACGCTGAGGTTTATATTTCAGATGGGCAAGAACCTCATCTTCAGCCAGGAGCTGAGCATAAAGAGGGGGCTGGACAACGACAGGATCAGCAGCCAGCTGGGGTTCATGAACGAGGTCAGGAAGGAAATGTGGTTACTGTCCCGTTTCATCCAGTTCATGGAGGTTTTCGAGCGGAGGCGGATTCGAGTCGTGTTGAAAATCACCAATCTGGACCGCTGCACTCCCAGGAAAATCGTAGGCGTCCTGGAAGCCATCAACATCCTGCTTTCAGACGACGAGAGCCCGTTTCTTTCCATCCTGGCTGTGAATCCCAGTGTCCTGCTGGAGAAAGTGAACTTTGCGGACGGCTGCTTCAGCAGGGAGGACAGAGCTTACGCGCTGCTGAACCGCATAGTCACGCTGGCCTTCACCATCCCGCCGCTGTGCACAGATTTAAAGCGTGATTTATTTTACAGCCTCACCGGCAGCTCAGGAATCTCCAAGGAGGCTTCCTTCAGAGGCAGAAACAAGATGTCTGAGCTACCTTTAGTGGAAGTAAAGGAGTCAAAACCGTTGCTCGATCGAAGCTCTGAGACGGAGGATGAGCAGGAGCAGGAAATGGAGAAGCTTGTTTGGAGAATCCTGATCAGCGGTGAAAAAAAGCTGAACAAGTACATGTTAGAGGACACCCTGTCTATGAAGAGGACGATCAACTCCGTTTGGGTAACTCTGATCATCATGAAGGCTCTGAACAGAGAGCTTCCCAACCCAGAGAACATCCCGGCGTGGGTGGTCCTGGCCAACCAGTGGCCCTGTCGACTCAGCTGGATCATCCAGTGCGTGGAGGACGCAAATCAGAGGGCGGCCATCGACGAGACGAACCCGAGCTCCGACCCGTCCAAGACCTTATGGAAGGTTTTCTGCGAGTCCCGGGGGGAGCTGTATGTGATGCGTGCGCATATCGAGGACCTCCTGGAGCAGGACGGAGACCCCGAACTATTCGAAGAGCTACTCAGAGACGAGCATTTCGAGTTCACGTTGAACAACTTGGAGATCTTCCAGGAGGCGATGGTGAACCTGGACCAGTCCGTCAGGCGGGAGCTGGCTCTGATCAGGGGAACGTCCAGGCTGAGGGACTCGGGTTGGATGAGGAACATCGCCCCCCTGCCGACTACAGCTCTCATCAAAATGAGCACAGCTGATGTTTGTAAAGAGGTAAGCCCTTCTTTAAAGTTATGATCTTCAAGATTTCCTGTTTGTTGTATGTTTTTTCTTCCTCACAGATGGAGAGGTTGAATTACGACAGTAAGTACATCAACATTGTGAAAGACCACAAGCTCAATGGCTCTGCGCTGGTTTTCGGTGACGTAGAGGACCTTAAAGACCTGCTGGACATGTCATTTGGCGAATGGGCAACTTTCCGACTGCACTTCTTGAGTTTACCGCTGTCCCTCCGACAGAGGTACAACAAGCTGCCACCGCCTGCTTACCCCAAGAACCAGCTGTCGAGATTCCTTCAACATGCCCCCCATCATCACTCATCTAGTCCCAATCTGGGTCACAGCTGAGATTTGGTGGGGCTATAAGAAGGACGAATCCTGAACCACCTCAGCTGACTTTTTGATGCAGAGGAGCAGCAACTGGTGTCAGAGCTCTTCACCCCTGACACTGAACCCAGCGACCCTTTAGAACAGTGGTTCCCAAAGTTGGGGTCAGGACCCACAATGGGGTCCCAAAACATCAAGGTGGGGTCCTGAAAAGATTTTCTGAAAGAATTATATTAGAAAATAACATTTTTTGCCTTTGTTTTTAAAAGAGTAAAGTTATTGTACTTAAAATGGACAAAAACAGCATAACGAATTCCTGATTTTAGGAATATTGCTCAGATAGAAGAAGCCAGTCCTGGTAACATTTCCTAWGTAGGAAAATTCCTTACTTTAGCAGCAGAAGCCAAGTTAATGCCATCCAAAGGAAGTGAAAAGCTGCTAAGTTTTGTTTGAAGATGATTGCGTCTAAAAGGCACAACTTGTCTGAACAAAATACCAAGATACATGAACTCCGCTCGACGCGCAAACTCACCCTTCGTTTATTTACAATTGATTTAAACAGAAAACCCTCCAAGAGTTTTGTAAAAAATAAATAAAACATATAATAGGTATTACTTGTAGCTGTTGTGTTTTCTTCAAAACTCTCACTCTCTCAGCTACACATTTAACATATTTACTGCACGCTTTCGGGGCGTTTCAGCTCATCACGTCACGCATTTTTTACTTCATGAAGCCACTGCAAACTTCACATCTAGTCCTAAAATAACATAATAAACACAGCCTCAAGCTTACCAAAACAGTTGTTCACACTCCCCCACCTTCCAGTTCACGCAGTCATGTTAATTAAAAGCACCAGTCTCCAGAGTGTTGTACTCTGTTGGTTTAAAGCTTAAATAAAATAAATTCATGACGGAGATCTGTCAACTGTGAAATATCTCATACTGAGTTCAGCTATAGAGGCTAGTGATTGCATTCATTTGAGCATTAGATGATCAAAAATTCAATAATAAAGCAGTAATTAGGGTTTTATAATATACTGTGTTAAAAAAGGCAAATTTTACAAAAAAACATGATGAATCAGTTTTAAAATGTGTGATGTTTGGTAGCAATATGCGGCACAACAAAAACAAAAATTACAAAAAATATGAAAATTAATTGCCTTAGAAGTGTTACATCGGTACAGTTTAGTTTTTCTGTTTTTGCATTTTGCATAAAAAAGGTTGATTTCAATCTTCTGCTTTTTTATGTTTAGATGTTTTTTAGAAAATTATTAAGAAATATTTTCTTCCAAAATGAAAATACTTTGGTTTTTATATTCTGTATTACAATCGTCCAAAACATTTTTAGAAACTTTGTAACAAACATACTACAAAAAGAAAATAATTTAATAAACAAATCAGTAGTGTTTTTTTTATTGATTATTTGTAATATTATTCTTTAAAACATAAAAAACTAAATAATCTGAACATACAGCTGCAGCGTTTTGCTCCACTAAAATGAAGCGACAGGAAAAAAAATACATTGATGCACATTAACTTAAAGTGCCTGTAACATCATTTTTTGTAATAAAAATGAATGCAGTTTTAGAAAGATAACAYGAATAACATGTTGCAAAAGAAATTYAATGCCACTGAGATGAACAGTTGTTGAKATATTYGTATGTTCAGTARCAGGAAGTGATGTCACAGGGGTATGTCTGCACATGGCTACAACGGCTAATAACAGACTGTGTAGAAGAACCTGAGGTTTCATTAGATTATTTTGAGTCRAACAGAGAGAGRTGGAGAAGAGTCAGAGTTCAAATAATATTGTTTTGATAAACAAAATAGAGTTCCTTTTTCTTTGAGTTCCCCTTTGATGTCACTTCCTGTTTTGCTTAGCCTGAGCAGAATTCCAAAGAAAATATGGAAATTATGTGACAAAATGGGTAAAATCRTGTGTATTATGCAAAGTTTCTTAAATATAAAGATRTTTYCTTTGACTTTTTGTAATTGAAGTTTGTTTGCCGCAGGTACTGTAAGTCAGACACCTGATGCTTTTCATTTCCTGTTTTTGGAGCATGTTTATCAGCATTTAGACGCACAAAGTTGCTTTTCCTTGGTCAAAATCACACAGATAACTGGTCATGGATAGCTTATAGAAAACATGTTTCATTTTTAGGCACACTCAGTTTGTCATGGGCTGGTTAAGATCGGAAGAAGGGCCAAATCTGGCCCACCGGCCTCGAGTTTGACAAAAGCAATTTAAAGAAACTACCTCCTGATATTGTTCAGAATAATCACACCACTATTAAACATTAAAACTTTATTTTATGTGAACATATAAGCATCGTGCACCACGCTGCAACCTGACAAGAGGTTAACGTTTAACTGCGAGCCCTGAAATCTGCAAATAATCACAATAAAATACAAATCAACACCAGTTTACGCAACCTAAACTCCTTCAATAAAACTACTTTCCAGAGCATTAAACCTATCGRTGAAGCTGTAAAAAAACAATAACTGATGCAGGATTTTTAAAAGCTTGGCCCGACATTCAGATAAAGATAAAAACTCAACGAGATTTGAAGACTAATACTTTATTGATCATCATGAAGGTGAACACTGAATACAGGATGCAGTAAACTCCATTCTCCATTTCTCTAATCGATAAAATGCAAATAAAAATAATAATAAGATGTAAACTGTTTTAAACCCAGTTACAGCCGGAGTAATATGCTCGTTAATATTTTCACATCAAAGCGTTTTTTGTGTTAAATTGGAAGCTGGAAATTAATTCAATTGAGATGCTTTTGAACTGTTTTTCTCAGAAAGTTACAAATGTTAATTTACCCCCCAAAAAATAAACATCAAGCCAAACCCGAGCATTTACAGCAGAACATGACATTAATAAAAAAAAAAAAAAAAAATTTTATAATGAGTTGTTTTGAAATTCAAGGACTTTCTTCCAAATTAAACAGTCTNAAATTAAACAGTCTGTTTGTAAATCTGTGGGCCTTTCTGTCAAACTTAGGCAACATTAATAACATAATATTACACAGTTATGTCACTTAGCATCACACGTTATTTATTTATGCATCACAGTAAAAAATAAGATTTTAAGAGTTAAAAATTCAGTGGTTGCTGAGATAATAGAARATATTCTGTCATTAAATAAGGCGTTACTGACTTAAACAATCGTCTCCATTGGTAATATCATAATAAGAGGCACGGCTGCATTTAGAAACGACATTAATCTTTGTTTATTTGTTTATTATTCAAGATTAAAAGCAAAGACACTCATGATGGATGAAGAATAAAGCTGATATAAGTAGAAAATAGACACAATAAAATATTATTTATTAAAATAAATGTGTTTATAAGAAAACTGCAGTGTTAAATGTTTATAATTTAGAGTGAAACTCAGATTTAAGTCTGATTAGTGTTTATTTTAGGAAATAATTGCAGATATAGAGCATCCGCCCAGAGGCAGGGAAGGGAAGTAAAAAGTAGGAACTTTTTACATTTGTTAAAACATTTGTTAATTTGTTTTAATTTGGCGATTTTTGTAATGGAAATGTGTCAAACCAGGTGTGCTGCAGCGGAAAAACCTCTAAAACGTGCATGACTGTGGTCCTCCAGGACCAGWACTGGACACCTCTGGTCTGTTTGTTTGTTTGCAGAATAAGTAAAGTCAAGAAATGAATTCTTAAACTACTGAAATGTTTACTCAGCTTCTACAGGCTGCGTTTGAACCACCTGAATATTTTACCATGACAAACTGCTCATCCTCCAGGTGATTGTCCTGATGTGGATCACTTACRTCCCAGCGTCTCCGCCAACTTTTTCAGCCTTTTCTTCAGCTCAAGAGGAAACTTCTCGTAACACTTTTTACAAACGGGCTTCATGTCAAACTCAACAAACTTGTTCCTGCAGAAAGGAAGGGGGAAAATAAAAAATAAAAAAGCCGTGGGAGTCACCGATTTGCACCCAGCTTCCCTGTCCTTTATGATCCCGCCAACTGAACGTGTTAATGTTCAGGATTCATGCCAGCAACACAAAAACAACAGTTTGGTTTCATGAAAGGAAAGAGCAAAGCATGCAGGACAGAGAAGACRACAGGAACGGAGGAAACGCTACAAACAGACGGCGGGCTTCTTCTTGCCGTCTTTGGCTTCGCGCTCGCGTCGGGCCAGGCGGCGCTTCAGCTCCTCGGGCACGCGCTCGTAGCAGTGCCTGCACACCGGCCTCAGGTCAATTTCAACAAACTTATCTCTGAGTTACCACAGACGCAGCAAGTGAAGCATGTAAGAGAAGAAAGGAGATATTGAGAGAAAGAGAAGGGAGAAGAGCCAGAGAGGTAAGGAGGGTTGGAGAAGCATGAAATCGAACACAGAGGAGTAATACTCGGGAAGTGTTAGGCAAAAAGTGAGACGACGACAAACACACACACAACCTGGAAGAACTTTGAAAATACAGTCAACCCTATGAATTCTCTGAAAATCTCTACGCAGACCCATTTCTGCCCATTAAAAATCACATCCACTGTCATTTTCTGCACAAAAGAATAATTACTCCAACTTCAAACCTTGCTGGAAGCGACGTATGATGAAATATTAACATAATAAACCATCTCTCTTCATTACTTTTAGAGCAGCATAGACAGTCATTTATCTGCATTTATTTTTCTCACAGTAAGATTCAAGCACTTTATACAGTCAGTTTATACAGTTTATACTTTATACAGTCAACCTTGAAAATACTTGAAAATTCAAGCATTTTTAAGGATTTCAAGCACCCACACAAACCCTCAGTTTTGCTTCTGTCTGCACTTCAAAACATCAGGAAATTTCAGAATTTTCCGGACTATAAGTCCCACTTTTTCATTGTTTGACTGGTCGAACGTCTTATATGTTTTATTTCATACTGGCTGTGTTTCCATCCAATTTTAATGYGCATTTTGAGCAAATGTATAAAATGTCGCAAAAAAAGAAATATGCATCAGATGCGTTTCCATCAACAGGCTTGAAGCAAATCAGGTAAAAAAAGTAATTACGTCAAACGTTAATGTTACGCATGGCTGCAGTAAACAGGAAGTAAAGTCGTAAACTCACAGAGACACACCTCGGAACAATGGAGAGAAGTTATCAGGAGCGTATCGCTACTTATTCTGTCATATCAGCTAGTATTGGTGATGTTACTGCTGTCTGGAGACGTAGAGAAAGAGATGCAATTCTTTTCACGTTACGGGAATAACCGGGAGGACTCTGACAGCGGGGGGAGGGTCCAGCTGCTACAATTATTGGACATCTGGAACAGGTGATCGAGGTAAATGTTCGCTATGTTAGAACTTATTCCTAAATGTGTTTCCGTCTCCGTTTTGGCGCATTAACTCTTTTTCTGAAAATCCAAAAACCACCTCAAGCGAGCGTGAAAACATTTTTGCAAAACTGAGAAAGTYTTGTTAATTTTGCTGTTTCTATCTACCTTTCCTAATGCGATGCTTCAAAATGCAAATRAAAAAGTTGACGGAAACACGGCTAGTGACTGATATAAACCAAGGGGTGAACATTACCATCTGCAGCCATTAGAGGGCGATAACTGCAGTTAAAGTACCTGTGACACGAAATTTTTAAATAAATAGAAAGGCTTTATTGGAAATTTAACATCCATAACATATTGCAAAAATAAATTCCCGTTGCTGAGATGAACATTTATTGAGATATATGCATTTAAAGTACSAGGAAGTGATGTCAAAGGGGAATGTCTGCATGGATTAGAGCATTGATAAAATGGCTAAGGACACAGACTGTAGAGAAGAATCTGATGTTTCTTTAGATTATTTTGAGTCTCTATCAAACAGAGATGAGGACGAGTCAGAGTTCAAATAATATAATATCAATAAAMAAAGACTGAAGAGTTTCACGTAACGTTTTTCTTATCTGTCAACCGTCTGTGTTAATGACGTTATTCAGCATCGAAGGAGCTATGTTCTCTGTGTTTTTGTTTTATTCCAGATTAAATGACTGTTTTTGTGATTAGTCAGGCGAGACTTACAGTCTGTAAAATACGGAATGCAACAACTTTCTAATGATGGAGATTTACGTTGTGTTTGGAGGATGTTGCACCTGAAAGCTTCACATTTTGCACATGTCTCTGATGGATCTAGAACTGAGCGCCTCCGCCTCTCCCTTACCCTCTCGCCCGGTGGCTTTCATGCCGACGTCGATGCGTGCACAGAAAACGCACAGGAACACCTCGGGGAGACGCAACACCTGAGGCTTACGGTGCWGACAAAACAACACGAGTACGCGAGCGGAGGGCAAATCCATGTGCAGAGAAYTTGTGTTGAATTAAACTCAGATTCAGAGGGTTGACTGCGCTGTTTAAACTTGACTTACTTGAGAGTGAGTTTGGTGTTGCAGGTGGAGCACGAGAAACATCCGACACACCAGGCTTTGTTGAGAGCAGACACGACTGGGGAGGTCGCAAAAAAAACAAAAAAAAAAATCAAACACATTTAAAGAAGCGYGTCTCAAAGCAGCACTTTGTAAAACGCATTAATTACGTGCTTCCTCGCACCGATACTCACCGTCGCCTTCGATCACGCGGTTGCAGTGATAGCAGACGTCACCAAAGAGCTTGACGGCACAGAACGAGAAGATTAGGCATGAATTTAGTCGATGAATTCACCCGAACAAAACGCACTCCTTACCTGGTTGTAGTGAGTCTCACAGTAAGCCAAACCCTTCCTCTCGTAGTGACGATGACCGAGGAAAGGCTTCTCACACTTRGCACACACGAAATGCTGCCAACAAAAATAAATAAAATCTGATATTTACTTTGTAGTTCATCAGAAGAATCCCTGAAGTGTCAGAAAGCTACATTTGTTTGAGTCGATTTATTTTTTTTACATCAAAAGTGAACTGTTAAAGGAGCTTTTTGAAGAGTGTAAAACTGAGCAACTGCTTAATTAATCTTTTTATTAATACTCACRTCTGTTTACTGACAAACATTCTCATTTACAGTGTTTTGATTTTAATTAGATCTTTTTTTTACATATTTTAGAATTTGACTGTGTCAAATAACATAAACTGAAGCTATTTTTAAAAATTTGAACAAAACTGGCAAATAAAAAACATTGACGTATGATAAAAAAAATAACATCTTTTGAGAGCCATTTATATTTTAAAAGATAAATCTTCTCTTTTCCAGAATATAATTTTCCATTTAAACTAAATCTTTTGTTGTTTTAACAACAAATCCTCATCGTCTGTTAAACAATTCACTAATAGGGTTTTAATAATGACCTTTAAGCTCTTAGATGCTACAAACCTCAACTAGAAAATCTAATTTTTACATAGAAAGGAAAAGCCGGTAAAAAAAAAGATGTTTCTTTTATAGTAAAAACTGTTTTTCTTTGTTGTTAAGTAAAAAGAACTTTGTTTTCCAAATTTCTGAACAGTAGGTCAAAAGTTAACCAGGTTAAAGTTGCATTCTGTAAAAGAAATGGGTCTGAATCTTCTAAAAGTAACATTAAAGAGCTAATAAAGAAAAAAGGTAAAGAAATGAAAAGTCACACAATTGTGTCAACTTTAAGAAAACAGGTAATAGCAGGTAAAATGTGAGTCTTTTGTACTTCTAAACCAAAAAGTCTTTTCCTCTTGAACAAAACTTTGACCAAAAGAAAACTACTTATTTTTTTAATACAGCAATCTTCCCAGCACTTTGAAAATACAGGAATGCATCATAGTAGAGCTAAACGGCCACGAACCTCCACGTGCCACTGTTTCCCCATGGCGTTGACCACGCGCCCCTCGATGGGTCTCCTGCAGGCGCCGCAGATCGGCACGCCCATTTTATCGTGGCACGGCAAACAGAAGAGCTCTCCCTTCAGCTCTCTCGCATCGGCCGTCAACTCCTTCCTGGAAACAGAGACGCGTTCAAACCCACGAATCGGCGAGGACACTTCAGACACTGATTAAAATTTTTAAATAATTGCTTAAATTTACAGTCGAGCTCTACGAACCGTGTTATTATGGCAAAAATTAAAACAATTTTCAGTAACGATGAAAAGACTGACCCGCAGTTGTTGCAGTTGAAGTGGTCTGGGTGATAAGGGTCGTTCTTAAAGATCAGTGGCTGCTCTTCAATGATGGCGTGGCACTTCTGGCAGATGTACTTGCCCAGACCACGAGCTTTCTCACGGTTATGGCACGGGCGACACAGGTGCCTGAATGTAACGGCAAACAACAACAGCAACAACAAAAAGGATCAAAAAAGCTTTACTAGACTCAAGTAATGTTTTGACTCAGTCATACATGAGAAAAATAATGAGTAAAACACATTACCTTCAAACATGCAAGAACTTGTTCGTATTCTTATCCTAAATTTCTCTTACTTTTGTTCATATGAAGGGTTCGTACAAACATGCCACATCAGATTCAACAAACTCTTCTATCTTCAGGAAAAGTGTGTAAATTAGGAGCGTAAACTTTTGAACGTGTATCCAGATGATCGCGCACGGGGAAAGGAGATTAGCATAATTACCACCCCAAAAACACCATATAAGGATATGTTTCCTGCCCCACATACCAGGACGTGTCCATTCATTAGTGACATCGCAAAGTAAAAAGAAGAACGAGTTTGCAGATTGAAGTTCTGCTCTCAGAGATCCAGAAAAGATAATCTGTCATTTTTAGCAGCGTCAGACCTGCTAAACCCAAGGAATGAAATGACGACTGCTGTTAATGTCGTGTCTCCTGTGGGTCGTACAGTCACAGAAATACAAATCTAAATCATATTTATCTCTCTCTAGTCCTGCTCCGGTTTTGCTTTGGTCAAATTAAATTAAGTGTAAACAACAATAATTTAATTTAATTTAACCAATTTATGTTCTTAGTTTATATTACATTTAAAATTATAATTCTAATTCAAACAGAACAACCTATTTTCAACAGAATTATAGTGTGATTTATTTTCATCTCGAAATATCTTCAAACTAATGAAATATAAAGTTATTAATGAAGAAAACCCAACTGGATAACAGCAGACTGACTGCTCGTAAAATATACGACAGGTCTGGACCACTCGTGAATTTTCTTCGTTTCTGAAGAAAACCTTACGAGAAAATTGGTGAATCCACAAATTCTTCTAAATCACTCGTACGCACAACTTAAGAACAAATTTGTTCGTATGAACGGTTCTTGCATGAGACCCATTGTGTATATTTAAGAGAATGACAAAAGTTTTTTTGTTGTAGAAGTATGTAAATGTATAATGTATGAATTGTTGCTCAAGTAAGAGTTAAACCTTTATTTTTCTTTGGTTTTTGTAATCTGAAGATTATTTTTGATTGAATTTAAGGGGTAGGTATTTCTTCTGCTACCTTTCATTTAATTTATGATTTGTATTTTTGTTGTTTGTTGAATTTGTTTGTTTTTTTTAAAGAAATTAATAAACTTAAAAAAAAATAAAATTATTTGATTTGATAGAAAAGCAAAGTGCTGCTCTGAACTGTTTTATTATTAGGACTACAACAGGATTATTTACCTGCCAGCATTTTTAACAAATCCAACATCTGCGAGCACCGCCTGGCAAATGTCACAGCAGAAACACTCGGGGTGCCAACTATTGTTCATGGCCTTAATGACGCGTCCAATGATGAACTCCCCTGGAAGAAACAAACCATGAAAAAAGAAATCAGGCTGATTAGAGTCAAGCTTCAGGTGCTGTTATCCATCCAATGTTTTGTGACTGAACGGGACTTTCTAATAAGTTACACACTCTACGGTTTTATTATGCTCTTTCTCAATACTCTCTTTATGACACTCAATAAAAAACAAAGCATTTTTTTATTAAAGTATGCCAGTCTCTTCGCTGGTGTAGAAAAATAATCCCTTTTACTGAAGGGGATAAAAGAGGCTGTTATTGTTCAAAAGTTGCCCAAAGAAACGCCGGCGGACACTCCTTCTGTGAGTTGTTTGGGTTTCTCTCCTTGATTCTGTGGTGAGAAAAGAAAAAAAGGTAGAAGACACGCCTGGGGGAACCTGTCCACCGGTGACAAATTCTGAACAAAAACTATAAACGGCTCCGAGTCGATGGACTGAGATCTGATCTATCAAACGGAGCAGGGACTTGAGGGATGCTTACATCTAGACTGTGAGGGACACAAAAAGATAAAAGTTAAGGTCCTGATGCATCTCAGTAATCCAGGTAAAAAATCAAAAAGAAAAAAATTGTGTAGGTCTTCTGGACGGGTTCTTCTCTAATGAAACGTTTCGTCTCTCCTCCAAGAGACTTCTTCAGTCTGAGAGTTTCAGGCAAAATTCAGGCTTTTAAGCCCAACCAGTGAGTATCAGTCACATGGAGGCAGGGCTTAAAAGCCTGAATTTTGCCTGAAACTCTCAGACTGAAGAAGTCTCTTGGAGGAGAGACGAAAGGTTTCATTAGAGAAGAACCCGTCCAGAAGACCTACACAATTATTTTCTTTTTGATTTTTTACCTGGATTACTGAGATGC